AGGGAAACATACATAAGCTATGACTCAGATGGAGATTTCAGAGATGAAACACAGTTTAAAACTTTTAAATATAAAAGAAGATAACATTTACCATTAAGTAAAAATAGTAGCTAAATCAGAACCAAATAGACCTATGTATTGAAAAACAAATTTTTATTTCTTCTTAAAAGCCATTATTTAGCATAAGTTCTGCTGCCTTAATATCAGAATTAAATCTGTTCAAATTCTGAAATGAAAGACAGTAGTCTTTACTCAGCAGCTAAAATGCACCGTTTCTGACTTTAAATTATTCCTATTGCTTCTTTGATCGCCACATAAATGGATTATAGCTTGCAGAGTTTCATCAGAATGCATTTTGTCCTCCCATGTTAAAGAAAAACATTATTAATAGCTAGAAATCATTCAAGTCAGGAGTCAGTATCACAGAATCACAGAATGTGTGGGGTTGGAAGGGACCTTTAAAGGTCATCTAGTCCAGTGCCCCACTACAGTGCACAGGGACCTGAAAGCAATCAGTGCAAAAGGACTTTCAAATATGTCACCTGGAGCTGATATACTTCTGTGTGGTGCTGTCCCTGTAATACACCTCATAGAACACATGGGAGCAAAGGCACAGCTTAACCAGAGAGGTTCCTACAGGGTGCCTGCAAGTCAGTATTTCAAATGAAGCCCTAACCCCACTGAACTCTGTGCCAAAACTTCCACCAACTTTCTCAAAGCCTAGATTTCAAGCCTGTGATCTGAGCACCTGGAAATCAGATTTAGTTAGTGAGATTTAACAACATCAGCGTAATTGTAACTCTGTTGGTCATCCTGACATCTTGCAGTATATGCCTGCATCCAGATCTATAGATTCTTCTTTTTGAAAAATAAATATGGGATGCGGCTCTAGAGTGAGCAGAGCAGAAACAGAGCTAATGGCTTTATTTTACCCTGTCAATAGAAAGGAAGCAACCAATAACAGTTCTGGAATGGGTCTGAAACAAAATAATTCAGGAAACAGTGTGAAATAGAAAAAATAAATAAATTAAAGATGATGCAGAAAGGACTTGATGGCACTATGTGTGTAAAAGAGTGTCTATGGTAAAGTGTTTTGAGGCTATAAAATGTACACTATTTTGTACCTAAAAAAAAAAAAAAAAAGCTTGGAAATTATCCAAAATTTTAAAAAGCCAGTGAGATAAATTTTACTTTCAGATTAAAAAAAAACACAACACAACTAAATAGTATTCCACAGAAATCAAGGGAATTTCTTTGGCTTCACACTGAGAGATAAGTAGAATTTGATAACAGGGAAGAGAGGAGAGTATGATTTATAAGTATTATGAAAAATTATTCAGATGACCAGGTTAGGGAATCTGAACTGGTGGACTTTGCTGGAAAACTGAAAAAGGTTGTAAGCAACACTAGAT